GGGCATGGCCAACTCAACATCACTCATGTCAAGGGGCACTTCTCCTTACCTGGCCTCTCATGAAAGTGGGGATGCTGCAAAGGTGTGAAAAATGGTCATGTCACTTTTTTCAGTGCCATTGTAACTTTGAATGGTTACTAAATGAACTGTTGTAAGTCAAGGATTACCTGTACAAAAATACAAAAAGCTTCTTTGCTTGCAAAAAGCTGCCCTAAATACCAATCATTAGATTAAAAATACCTGCAAGCCAGAGTTACAAATCAGGCAGGGTGCCAGAGCACCTTGAGGAATGAAAATAGTTAAAATGCAGTGATAACTATCAAGCAGCCAACTCTTGCTTATAAAGTGAAACCCTTTAGCAGAGAGGTTATTTAAGCTCTCCAGAAAAAGCACACCCAGGAAAAGCAATCCTTAGATCCATTTGCACCACTTAAAGATACCAGCTGGTCTCACTCACCTCACAAGATATCCTAAGGAAATCATCCAGATTTAAGGAAAGGTCACATGCTCCCTAAGAAAGGCAGTAAAAAAAAAATCAGTGCCAAGCTTGCATCTTGAATTTTGGAAGTATACCCCAAAAGGACAGTACCAGATATCACTAAAGCAGTGAAGAAACACCCCCTCCCCAGATAGAAAAAGAAACCATGAGGCAGGAAAAAATTCAAACACAATACAAATAATTAAATCACAACAGTAGCTGTTGTTTGTTGAAGCTGAATAAGAAAAATTATCCCATCAATAAACACAGGATTAAACATCACGAAGCACAGAATTAACCTTCACCAAAAACCAGTTTTAGACCAAAACTCAGAAAGGGTATGTAAACTCACATTTGAATGTCAATCTTTCTAGCTAGCCAAGAAGCCTTGTTGAATGTCACTCATCTTGGTTCCCTGTTACTAAAAGCTTTGCTTCATTATTCAATTATTTCTTCAAAGTGCTGATTGTCCAGGGAAGTATTTCCTCCCAACAGCAGTGTAAAAATCTTAAAACAACCCTTCCCCTTTAAGAAAGTCAAGCCCCAGAAGCTCTGGAGACAGGAAGTCTAGGCGTTCTGGCAAGAATGTAATAAGTGTGGGGGGGGGGGGACAAAAGGAGATTGCTTCTAACTACCAGTTCTCTGAACTGCTTAGAAAGTTAATAAGGGGTTCTATAGAACCGGACAGAACTGGTAGAATCCCACCCCTGGTCACCACTGGTGATGACAACTACCACTGTTGTCAGTATTGATACAATTTTGGGGGAAAGGATCTGGAATTTGACGTTTACCCAAGTTGAAGTTTTTTTAAGAGAAAGTTTTGTTCCTTTTCTTTACTTGAATTTATAAAGATCCCCAATTGAGAAGAACTCTTGAAATACCATCCTTATTTAGCTATTATCCATGGTTTCCTCATAACTTGCACAATCAACCTGGTTATAGAGGAAGAAAACTATGGGAATTGAGATAACAGCATTTTGGCCTTTTAATTTTACACACCCAGTCATTTCACTACAATAAAAATTGCTGAGAGATAGATGAATGCTTGGGGCTGTGGTTTACTAGACTCTTTAAAATCAGGAATGGGAGAAATATATGAATAAGGAAACTGGAGGAAGGAAAAGAAGTGATTGAATAAATCTCTCAATTAGTGATTAGAATTATTTTTGCTTGCCTTCTCCACCACAGCCATCTTGTCAGTCACTAGTTCTACTGCATTTGACAAATGCTCTCTGAGCATAAGGCTAGTTTACCATTCTTTGGGAAGGCATGGAGGTTTTTGTTATTCACAGTTACAGCTGCCTCTTTGGCCTCTTTGTTCTCTCTGATTTTCCACTTTTCTCAGAGACTCCTTGGAGTTTCTAACAATCCCTGAAGCAACTTTGGAAAAATTCCCAAAGGATTCTACTCCAACATCCTGCACCAAATTACAGCACGCAGAATTTCACTGAGAAGAAGGAATATATATGAAAACTGTCTGAAAGCATTTGTCAATATTTATACACACAAAGTGTGTGTGGGGGGGTTATGGATGGATAGACAGATAGACATTTAGGCAAAATTTTTAAAAGAAAGATAAAAAATTATACTTAGTAATATAAAGTCAGAAAATGTTCCATTACTTTCTATGATTCCAGTTCTCAACAAACATATTTAAGACTACTTGTTGAACAAAGGAGTATCCAGTTTTCTGTTGTGTTTATTTTTCCAAGTTCACACTGTTGCCACAAAGCACAATGCTAAGTTCTAGGAGAAGAAATTGCTGCAGCACGAGGTCCTCTTGTGTTGTTGCAAAACTCCATTGTTTGATCTTAAAACTTCAGATGTGGGACATTAAATTAAAAATTGGACTTCAAATCACAGCTTTTATATTTACTAAGTCATCCATGTTTAACTGAAATGAGAATCTGCCATCTGGCAGTTACTGATTTGGCTACAATATTATGTCTATCTCCATAGAATATGATGGGGGGGGGGTACCTTGTGTTTCTCTCCAACCTGATATTCAGAGCTCAAGTGTTTTCTAATTTTATTATTGGAAGTTGAGATACATGTAATGCTCAGCAGGGAGAAGAAGGCATCCATTTTACAAATGTTACTGAGCCATCACTTCAGGATGACTGTACTTAGAGATAAATACTGTTTGATGAGAGGAGGAAAAAATCTGCCACAAAAATGTGCTGAAGCAGGAGGAGAAATAAGCACTTTTTTTGCTGTTGCCTAACAGAACAAGACTCACACCATTACATTCTGAACGTGAAATAATATCAGAACAAAAGCTGCTGCAGATGTTTGACCTATAAGCATTCCTTTCTGTAGGTTAGAAATGTTGCATTCTGCTTTCCATTTTAAAGCCTTGAAATGCTTGCTGCTTGCCAACAAATGCTTACCTAGCACTTGATTATGTCAAAATGGAAGAAATTATATTCAGAATGATTTGAGCTGTAGATACACCTCCAGCATTTTTAGATAATAAAATCAGTTAATATAATGTGTTTCAAGATGATAAATGAAGGTTGCCATTGTTTTTCATTTCAATGCTGACAATTTAAATATTCAACATGGGGAGAGATTTATTTTTTTTCCCTTAAGGAACCCCAAATAAGTAAAAAAATTACACACATAGACAAGTGCACAAACAAAAGAACAGAAACAGAATTGAAAAAAGGTCTTAGTGTCATGTGTATTATAAAGAAGCAATATGAACAACTTCAGCAAACCTATGTTAGCTACCTGACTGTCTAATCTATGGAAAATACACACACACACACACACACACACTCACATACACACTCCACTATTTGCTACCAACCCCAATGCTCTCTTTGACTTGGAGAAAACTAATGCATATTACTCTTATGGTTGATTGCACATTCAGCCAGATTTGGATTTGGTATTTTTATCTACCTATTGAATCCTTCCCAAGGATGTGGGGAGGCAGATGTTGTTTAATAACATTAAAGGTATTGTCACAGAATGTAAGCTGTTCCAAATAAAGTTGTCTTTTTCAAATGACTGATGGTCAATTCAAATGGTATTCAAATAGTACTCTATGTTTTGTAATTACACCCAAGAAACCTATTTACTATAGACATTATCTTTTCTCTTTCTTTCTTTCTTTCTTTCTTTCTTTCTTTCTTTCTTTCTTTCT